CCACCACCACCACCACCACGACTTCTGCGACTATTACTACGGCTGCTGCTGCTACTACTACTACTACTCCTCCTCCTCCTCCTCCTGCTGCTGCTGCTGCTACGGCTACCACCACCACCACCGCCACCACCACCACCACCGCCTCTACTGCTGCAACTACTGCACCACCACCGCCACCACCGCCACCGCCGCCGCCGCCGCCGCGGCCGCTGCTGCTACTGCTACGACGACGACTACTGCTTCGACGGCTACTGCTACTGCTACCACGTCGCCGACCGCTACGAAGCCCGCCCAGCTTTTGCGAGAACACCTCCGAGCTCCTTCACAGGCCTCTGCCCTCGTCACGACAAGCCCGGCGTGGAGAGTATCACCACCGGTGAACTTCGAGAGGCCGGTGCTGACAGTGAAATCCTGCAGCCGCGATTTTATCGAATCCGACACCACGCGAACAACTCGTGTCTAGGCTTAGGCACGGAGGACCATGCTGTCGAGCATAGAGTGCCAAGTAGGCAGAGGCTCAAGCAGCTTGTGCAGACAAGCTGCGCCAGCTCCGAGTACGAAATGCAACCGCGCATTGCATCATTGCATCGCCTCCTTCAGAAGTCTGCAGGTCGATACGGTCATCTTCGATTGCGACACTCTGCCGATATTACGTTTTGAGTCGGATGCGAGTTTAAATCTGAGATTTTGTTGCAAAGTACTTCCTGCTGCAACAGGACGGAGTGGTTCTCCATGTTCAGGACAACCTGCATGAGAGGGGGCATGCGAAGGCGAATCATTCTAGGTCGCAGATGCGCGATTCTCCTGATAGTTTAGCCCGCTTTTTCGAGCCCTTGATCCTCCGAGGATGGCGAGATTCCGGCCTGACAAGTCTCCTATAAGCCCAGAAGTGAAGTGAAGTGAGATTGAAGATGACTTCGACTTGTCAGTGCAGGAGACGGACCTCAAGAAATCGTCATCAGCATATGCTGCAGAGAACGTCGTGGCCCTAGCGTTACTGTTCCAAGTGACCGAGAAAGCATCTGAGCTGTGGATAGCCCTTCTCAACGTAAATTTCGTTGGCTCTACAGGTGCACATCATCAATGCCATTCTGGACGCTTGTCTGCACGCAAAGAGCCGAAGAAGCCCAACGCATCAGGAAGACCAAACCAGCTCCCAAGCCGTGTGTAAGCCGTTGAAGCCTGACAGCCTTGGCTCAGGGAGCGGGGAAAAACGTCATCTTCGCAGACAGCGGAAATCGGGAGCCCTCCAGGCCGACCTCTTGCGGTGCAGGTTTAGGGCCCGTTAAGGCTTGGCGGCAGAAACTTTGGTTTTCGTCGTTGCATCGCCAATTTTAGGAGAGTCCGTGCTTGGCAAGGAAAGGCTCATCTATGTTAGTTATGTTAGGTCTTTTGAAATGCTGTACAAGCTGGGGCATGTAGCAGTTCCTTGAACTGTAGTGCGAGTGCGAACCGAGAGACCTCGTCTGGCTGCGTCCGAGTTGCGAGAGCGTGAGGCATGAGATTCGGGCCTACAAGCTATAGCAACAGTGTTAGTGATAGTCGTGGTAATTGTCGTAGAAATGCAGGATTTAGGAACAGTGGCGGCCACGGCGATAATCATGATGATTGCACAATGAATACTGCCACTGAGGCAGTAAGTTAGTAAAACCCATGCTGCTCTCAACACAACAAGATACAGCTTACGGAAGCTAGAATTCCGAGCGTGGCCAGGGCTGCATTCCGGAAGCAAATCAAAGATCGGGGCGTGCGCTCCGAGGACTCGGCGGAGCTTCAGGTGCGAGCGACGCCGAGGGGATTTCGGGATCGAGTCACTGAAAGGCTTCAGGACTTGTATTTGCAAAACTCTCCAGTTGATATCGTGTGCCGAGGTCTGCTTGCCTGTGGATGCCGCTGTCTGGTACATCAAGTCTCAAGGTGTGGGGAGTTTTGCAGACTCACTGGTTGCCCTGCTTTTGGGGAGGTTGACGGTGCACGCTAGGCTAGGCTTGGGCGCCCCGAGGGACACCACGACTCTTTCCATCGAGCAAAGGCCTCGAAGTCTTGTGCTTGAGACGTGCCAGGCTTCCAGAAACCGCTTGTGGTCTCATCCCAGGCCGCTGGCCAAGAGTTTGTCAACTGGGATCCTAATCGGCAGAGTATTGAGACTTGACTTGAATCCTGTAGCCTGCCCTGCAAAGTGGAGCCAGGAGTCGCTGTTCGAAGAGGCATGACCCATGATGAGGGATTCCGCATGATTGGGCATTTCCGCTGGTGGTTGTGGTTGCTGTTGCTGTTGCTGCTGCTGCTGCTGCTGCCGCTGCGGTTGCGGTTGCTGTTGCCGTTGCTGTTGCTGTTGCTATTGCTGCTGCTGGTGCTGTTGCTGCTGCTGCTGCTGCTGCTGCTGCTGCTGTTGCTGTTGCTGTTGCTGTTGCTGTTGCTGTTGCTGTTGTTGTTGTTGTCGTTGTCGTCACGCTGTGCACTTCAGTGCAGCTCTAAAGCAGCTAGCTGCAAGCTCCCTTCTATACATTTGTTCCTTTCTAGGTGGAGCAAGCTTGAAGTCTTCAAGGGTTCAATCTCAACTCCAGAACGTGGTGCGACTTGGTCGGCTGGGCGGGTGGGAACAAAACTCCAGAGCGTGATGGATTGGGAAGGGCAAGATTCGTAATTAGATTTGCAGGGGGAAGGAAGGAAGAAGCGGCCTTGAACGCAAGAGGCACAACCGAAGTTCACGTCAAGTGCCTGCAGATGCAAGTCGCAGACCTCGGTGCGAGCCACATGCGCGCCCTGCCAAGTTCTGCCAGGTACTGCTAGCTTTTCCAGGCTGCGTGTGTTTGATGGACAAGGATAGGCACAGATGCTGCTCAGGGACGGCAGTTGCAGTGCACTTGCACGAAGCGACTGGCCCGAAAGTTCTTGAGCACGCCGGGGAGCTGGCAGGACGGCCATCTGCGTCCGGAATTCCGCCCTGGAGCCATCCACGCACCCAGCAGCTTCACTGAAATGCTAACACTATGCAGAAGTGATCTGAGCAATGGTACAACTCTCGGTATCCTTGGTGCAATATGGCTCTAAGAGTTTCCTGTCGAAGGTTGCACCACTGGCAGGAACGGTTCATGAGCAGTAGAAGGACTCTGGGTTGGCTACAGTTTACAGGGTAATCCCTCGGAAGCTTCTGACAATTAGCAGTCAGAGCGAAGGGACTCCTCAGGTGACGAAGAAGTTGCAGTTGCCCTTGCCGCTGTGCACGGCGCCGACTGCGTTGCACCTGGGCAAGAGCTGCAGTGTCTGCTAAGCCAAAGCCATAGCACCTCACTGCGGCTGAAAGTAATTCGCATCCTTCGAAACGCTGAGCTTGTTGTCACAAGGGCTTGTTCCAGGCTTCGTGGCCGACGCAAGGGCAAAGATTCGAGCCCGAAGCGGAACAGTTGTAATGGAATTGAAAGGCCACCGTGTCTGATCCAGTAGATCGCGAGGTTGGTCAGCCATTCCAACTCATCAGCCATTCCAACTCAGCGACAACATGTCTCATCAGGAGTGTCTGTCCCCTTCCTTTCTAAAGTCCAATGAGTTGTTCGTCCAAGATCGCACTATGCTTCTTCTCCAGACCACACGGCTTGAACACTGAGCAGATCTGCTCAACATGACCACTCCTGAATGCCCGAAATGTCCCGTGCAACTGGAAGATTCTGCGCGAGGTTGCTTTCGCTGCACACAGCCTGCAGACCAACGTGCTGCACTTTCCAAGGGAGTCGTACTGAACCCGCAGAAGCTCAGGTAGAAGAAGAGTCCGTGCTCCAGTTCAGAGTGCAAGTCTCAGGTACTTGGCCCGCTGGCAGAGGCAATGGGGGGGTAGATGAGTTTCGCTTTTCGCTACAGCTCACGTAATGCTATACTATAAGATATCGGCAGGGTCGGATCATGTTTCGTTGCGAGAACTCTCCGGTCCGGAGTCGGGCCTTGAATCACCTAAGTTCCATCTGAAACACGAATTCGTTTTACCGCAATCGCTCCTGCAGGAACTGCCGGCTCTTGCAGCAGCTGCGGTTTCTGCAGTCTTGGGCACAGATGATGCAAATCCGCGCCTGGCAGAAGCCTCAGAAGCTTCTTCTCAGGAAGCCCCAAACCGGAAGTCAAAGTGCAGAGAGCAGAAGAAGTTATTCGGTTTGTGCAGCCCAGCACGCATGCCCACTTGGAAGCTCGTGGTACTTTCCAGTCGGCCCGCAATCCAAAAGACTGGAGGTGGTAGTTGCCGGCCAGCAGGCGCGCCGCAAGCTGAAGTCGGCAAGGCCCCGACACAGTATGAAGCCTCAGTGGTTTTGTTCAGGCAGCTTGGAGTGCTCGAAGGATCTCGCATCCTGTCAAGAGCCATCAGACCTTGCATCCGTAGTAGTTCTAGTATTGGCAGCCAAAGAAACAACAGAGCAGCTGCAGCCGTCGTGGTAGCTGTCATTTGCCGAGGAAGGAGGAGTCGTCGTCATCATCAAAAGTAGTCGTAGTCATTGTCATCGCAGTCGTTGCCCTGTCGTCGTCGCGCGTTAGTGCGCGTAGTACTGGTGTCGATAGTAGTAGTAGTAGTAGTAGTAGTAGTAGGAGCAGCAGCAGCAGCAGTAGTAGTAGCAGTAGCAGCTGCAGGAGTAGTAGTAGTAGCAGTAGCAGTAGCAGTAGCAGTAGTAGTAGTAGTAGTAGTAGTAGTAGCAGCAGCGGTGCAGTACTAGTAGTAGTAGTAGTAGTAGTAGGCTTAGTAGTGGTAGTAGTAG